CCATGTTGGAACAAATGCAGTTGCAGTCGGACGAAACACTTGCAGTTGCATGCCTATTGTCAGACATGTACCTGCACCCCCCTTCCTACCGCCCACTTACAAAAAATAGTCCACTTGCAACCATGTTGGAACAAATGTAGTTGGAGCCGGACGAAACACTTGCAATTGCATGCCTACCATCGGACATGTACCTGCCCACTTACAAAACAAAGGTCGGTTGCAATCGGGTGTGTGGGCATGTAGTTGTAGTCGGTGGCGACACTTGCAATTGCATGCATAGTGTTACACATGCAACTGCACCCCCCCTCTCCCCACCGCCCCTCCGACGAAAAAGTCCAGTTACAACAATGTTGGAAGACATGCATTGTGGTCGGGGTTGACACTTGTATTTAACATGCAACTGTCCCCCCTCTCTCGCCGCTTACTTACAAAACAAAGGTGAATTGCACTCAGGTATGTAGGCATGCAATTGCAGTTGAGAGAGATGCTTGCAGTTGCCCCCCTCTCCCGTTGCTAACCGACAAAAAAAGTCACTTGTGGTTGGGTGTGTGTGCATGCAGTTGCAGTTGAGGGTGACATTTGCAATTACAAGCATATTATTGGACGTGAAACTACACTCCCCCTCTTATCGCCCTCTGATAGAAACACAAGTCCAGTTGCAACCATGTTAGAAGACATGCAATTGTAGTCGAGTATGAAAGTAATAGTTGCATGCCTAGTTTTGGACATGTAACTCCCCCTCCCACCGCTCACTTATACAAAACAAAGGTCAGTTGCAACTTACAACCATGTTGAAAGACATGCAGTTGTAGTCGGGGGTGACACTTGTAGTTGCATGCCTAGTATCGGGCATGCAACTTCCCCCTCCCTCTCCCACGGCCCATTTACAATACAAAGGCTAGTTGCAAATTGGTGTGTGGGCACGTGATACGTCTCCAACGCATCTATAAAGTATGCGTGCCATATTTATATGACTTTTATATAGTTTTGGTGCACTTTTATATGATTTTGATGGACTAACCTATTGACCTAGTGCCCTGTGCGAGTTTTTCACTACTAGGAAATACCTTATAGGTAGATGCTTAGTAGCAGCGAGGGGTATATGGGCTACGCTGCTGCAAATTAGTAGTAGTGAGGGGTACAAAAGCCGCGCTACTACTAAGTTATTAGTAGTAGAGCCGGCTATAAACCCACGCTGCTACTAAGTGGCCTCCACCGTGTCCCTCAGGGCAGGCCATAGTAGTAGCGAGGGGTACAAAACCCGCGCTACTACTAAGTTGTTAGTAGTAGCGCGAGCTATAAACCCACACTGCTACTAAGTGGTCTCCACCGTGCCCCTCGGGACATGCCATAGAAGTAGCGAGGGTTGTAAACCCGCGCTACTACTAAGTACAAGGTTTTTTAACAACCCTGAAATCCCCACCTCCTCCTCTGAATCCCTCCTCTCTCCCGTCCCTGTCCTCCTCTCTCTCTCCATAGGCTCTCCCATGGCGGTCTTACCCATGCGCGCCTCCTCCTCCATGGCGCCCAACAAGGCCGCTGATACGTCTCCAACATATCTATAATTTTTGCTTGTTCCATGCTGTTATATTATCATTCTTGGATGTTTTATAATCATTTTATAGCAACTTTATATCATTTTTGGGACTAATCTATTGACACAGTGCCCAGTGCCAGTTGTTGTTTTTTACTTCGTAGAATATCAGTACCAAACGGAGTCAAAACACAGTCAAACTTTTTAAAGAATTTTGATGGACAAGAAGGAACAACATAGGTCAAAGAAGTACTAGAGGGGTGCCCTGAGAGGGGCAAAACCCATCTAGGCGCGCCAGGGGGCCTAGGCGCGCCCTGGTGGGTTGTGCCCACCTCGGTGGCCTCCCGCACCGCCTCTTCGCCCTATAAATACCCAAATATTTCAGAATCCCTAGGGGAGCCGACGAAACACAATTCTAGCGACCGCAAGTTCCAGAACCACCAGATCCAATCTAGACACCATCACGGAGGGGTTCATCATCCTCATTGGTGCCTCTCCGATGAAGCGTGAGTTGTTCATTATATTGTAGACCTCCGGGTCCATATTCTGTAGCTAGATGGCTTCCTCTCTCTCTCTCTTTTGATTCTCAATACAATAGTCTCTTGGAGATCTATTTGATGTAACTATTTTTGTGGTGTGTTTGTTGGGATCCGATGAACTTTGAGTTTATGATCAGATCTATTTATCCATGAAAGTTATTTCAGTTTCTTTGATCTCTTATATGCATGATTAGTTATAGCCTCGTATTTCTTCTTCAAATCTTTGGTTTAGTTAGGCTAACTAGATCAATTTTTTTTGCCATGGGAAGAGGTGCTTTGTGATGGGTTCGGTCATGCGATATTTTTTCCGAGTGACAGAAGGTGCAGCAAGACACGCATTGATCGTTGCTATTGATGATAACAAGATGGGGTCTATTCCTACATGAATAGATCTTATCTACATCATGTCATCGTTCTTATTGCATTACTCTATTTCTCCATGAACTTAATAGACTAGATGCATGCTGGATAGTGGTCGATGTGTGGAGTAATAGTAATAGATGCATGCAGGAGTCGGTCTACTAATCTTAGTGATGCCTATATAATGATAATTGCCTGGATATCGTCATAATTATTTGAAGTTCTACCAATTGCCCAACAGTAATTTGGTTACCCGCCGTATGCTATTTTTCTCGAGAGAAGCCACTAGTGAAATCTACGCCCCCCCCCCCCAAGTCTATTCTTTATCATATTTGCTTGGAGATATATTTTTATTCGTTTTTTCTTTCAGATCTATTATTCTAAAAGCCCTAAAATACATTGCTGCAATTTTTCTTTTTCTTTTATTTTATTTTGTTTTATTGCGAGATCTTTTTTTCCAAAATCATACAAACCAATCTATCTTTTACCCGAGAGGGATTGACAACCCCTCTTACGCGTCGGGTTGCAAGTATTTGTTCTTTGTGTGCAGGTACCATTTACATAGTGTTGCATGGTTCTCCTACTGGTTCGATAACTTTGGTTTCATAACTGAGGGAAATACATACCGAAGTTGTACTGCATCATCCCTTCCTCTTCGGGGAAAAACTGACGCGGATACGAGCCATGATGATGATATGATTGCCCTTGAGCATTATAATGAGCTTAGTCTGGTTTTGGGGGTATGAAGAAGTGACACATAAAAGTAATTGATTTGAAGCATTAATTCTCATGAAAACTCTTGAATTTGATCTAAGGAAAATTTATATGTATTGTGTGGTGAATTGCAATGAGAATGTTTATCTTGCCAATTATATAAAGATGGGAAAACCAATGGAATATGAAGAGAACACTAATGAAAGGGAAAAGATTTCCCAATTCCCTCCTATTGTTTCTCATGATGAATCAGGTGACAAAGAGGAGCTTCCTGTCCAACCGATCTCTTCAATGAGAAAGTCAGAAAAATTAATTAAACCGACACATAATGCGGTGAAGAGGAAGAAAAGAAGAAAAGGTAAAGGTAAAAGGTATCTCTCCCAAATGTTGTTGCTCCTATTATTGTTGTGCCTCATGAGAATGAATCAAAAATAATCGTATAAGGTGATACACTTGATGATTATATTGTTTTTGGTCTTATGGCACATTGTCTAAAGGAACTATGGATGTTGATTTTGTTATGCCTATTACTTGTTGTGATAATTATAATTGGAAAGACAATGATTCTTCTTATAATCTTGAAAATCTTTTTGGCACTAACTTGGAAGAGTGTGATGATAATAATTGTTATACTATTGGTGCTATTCATACTATTGATGATAAAGGTAATTATGCTAATGATATGCAAAACCACAAGCTTGGGAATGCTATGTTTGATGAGAATGACAAGTTTGAGAATTTATTTGTTGCAAATAATGTTTATCCTAAGCTTGGGGATGCTATGCTTAATGAATATGATCTTTTTAGTCCCCTTGCTTTTAGTGATCAAATTATGAATGATAATTGCATGCGTCCTATTTATGATGATTGCAGTAATTATTAAAGTGGGTTTGGAAGAGTGTCAACTT